ATCTCGATGGCGGGTGTGAAGCCATAAAATAATTCAAGTTGGCAACGCTGTATGTTTACTATAAACTTTCGCATTCTGCGACATTTCTCTGGTATTCGACAAAACAAACATAATTATATTTTAAACAGAAGTTAACAAAGATCACTTACTTTGAAATCCGGACAATGTAACGGTAGAGATAGCCCAAAATATATTACTTCTGAACGGCAATCAATTTCTTCGATGTTTGAAGCGGCGGGTTTTTCCCCCGGATGACGTAAATTCTCACGCTTTCTCGTTGTTTCTCGCAACATCAAGTGCACGGCACATATTTACTATGCCAAAGAGGCAGTTGCCTTTCCCTCTAATCTAATTCCGTGGTTTTACATCAAATTTTGATTAAATTTCGGTAAAAATGCCACTGTTTTATCATTTATTTATTTTTAATCACAGAATAGGCCTACCATTCGCGTAACAAAGAACACTTTTAAGTCCATTCCACTTCTGTGGGGTAGTGGGTACTGCGAGGGGTGGTGAGTAGGGGAGGGGGTAGTGGGAACTGGGAGGGGTTGTGGGTAGGGGAAGGGGTAGTGGTTAGGGGATGGAGTGGTGGGTAGGGGATAGATTAGTTGCAAGGGGGTAGTGGTAGTGTGTAGGGGAGGGGGTAGTGGTACTGGGAGGGGGTAGTGGTACTGGGTGGGGTAGTAGGTTGAGGTAAGGGGAGGGGTAGTGGATATGGGAGGGGGTAGTGGGTAGGAGGTAGAGTGTAGATGAGGGGGTAGGGTATAGTGGGTAGGGGAGAGGTGGTGGGTAGAGGGAAGGAGAGGGGGTAGGGGGAGATAGTAGGTAGGGGGAGGAGTGGCGAAATGTTCGTGTAACAAGCATGAGCGCGCGGTGCGGTTAACTTGCTGATTTGTAAAAATATATTCTATATTTGTTATTACATGTATATACCCAATAGGCCTATATTTCAAGTTCATTTTTTATATTACATACAACATAGTCCAAATTATTCTGACGTTTTATCAACTTTTTTCCGTATCGGTCTGTCGTTAATCGACGACAGACCGATATGAAAAAATTGATAAAACGTCAGAATAATTCGGACTACATACAACGGTGTTATTTTTACAATGTGATATTTTTATACCGCAATATCGTATGTTGTTATTTGTACATAATGTAAAAGTGTATTATTGTTGTATAGTGTGATATTTGTTAAACCACAATATATTGTATGTTGTAAATTGTATATATGACTTTTTAGGATTTAGAATTATTATTGGTACCAATGTAAGAGTTTTTTGTTTAGTATTTATGTACCTTTATATTTTTTATATAATAAGTAAGTCCACAAGATATTTAATTTTTGCCACCTATATTTTCTTTTCGTTGTCCTAAACGTGCAACACGGAATTTTATTGATTCATGTAACAGGCATTTTTGTTTGTTTTAGTATAATAGTTAGAAAATGACTCAGTTTTCTGTGTTTTGATCATCAATATTGACATTGTTATAAGTGTTTATGTGTTATATTTTTAATAAACTATTGCTGCATCAAATAAAATGTATTTTGTTTCATTTTGTTCTATTGAAAGAAAGAAAAAATGCATTTTCATAATATCCCAAAGTATCTGAATAAACTACCGCAAGGTATGGGTTATTGTTTATGGTTATGCAATACTGAATAGCAATGCCGTAAAAACAAAATCAATGCCTCAATACATTTTAGGCAGAAGGACGGGGATCCTTAACTTTATCCATTCGAAACCCTAGTGGCGATAAGTGAATCAAGGGGAGATAATCATTATAAGAGAACGCGACGCCATTTTGAATCGGTGCGTGTATTCAACAGAAAATGGGTGACGAATTCGACGATTTTGAGAGGCAACTGGCCGAAAACAAAAATGGTAATATCGATTTAGTTGTTTAGTTGATACTGTGATTCAATCAAAGATTAATTATTTTGTAATTTGTTGTGTATCTAAATAAACCTTTGCAACTGGCTAAGAATCGCCGGCTTCGGTCGGGCAATGGGGTCGTTACTTCAGAAAGATTCATTGTTAACATATTCCCATTCTAATTCTCTTTATCTAATCGTTAAATGTGTTTGAAACTTAAAATGTTATACTGATCATATTTCCCCCTTTGTCATTCGTCTCAGACTCTATGCCCAACTGTATTGCAAGAGTCTTCAAACAAGGTAGGACGAGTGTGATCTACAACTCTTTTTATTTTCTCAAATTTTAATTATTGCCCTCTAGTTTGGCATTTCACCAGTATGAGGATTGTTAAGAAACTTGAAAAGATACAAGAGCGAGCTCTTCTTTTTATCCACAATGATTATGTCTCCTCTTTTACTGAACTCTTAATATTGTCAAATGCAGATTTTTTTTACATGTAAGAAGACTAAAGGATATAGGATGTGAAGTTTTTAAAATTCTGAACAAACTTTCTCCTGATTATATTCATGATCTTATAAAACTTAAGTCTTCGAATTATAATCTTAAACAGGAGAATACAGCAGAGGTGCCTAGGGTTAGAACAGTTAAGTATGGACAGAAATCTTTCACATTTGAGGCTACTAGCTAGGGTGTGGATCACTCTCACAAATGAGTTCTGGAAGGTAGGCAACTTTCCGGGTTTCAGGAGAATGATCCACACCTGAAGTGGACCCATCTGTAGCTCACTAGCTGTTCAATCTGTTGCACCTCTGCTGACTGACTTTTAACCATTTTAGTGCAAAACTCAGGTTTACCATTTTTAAGGTAAATAATAGACTGATTTGAATTGCTGCGATTAATATAATATTTTAATTTTTATGTAATGAATTAAATTTTACTACTTATGTTACTATTAGTTTTCTCTCTTAATCTTATTTTACTTTACTACATGAAATGCTGTTTTTAAATCCACACTATGTTAGTGTATATCATGTCAATTTTTACCCTTTGCTATACTAGCATGTATGTATAATACACTTGTATAAATTACAGATAGTGTTTTAACATTCAGTGTAGAAACACATCATTCATAAATTTGTGCCAAACCTCTGAATTTTATATAAAATCATAATATAAATAAGTGTCAAGCCTTGTGATAATATTCAGAAATTGTGCAATTGATTGTCTAACTTACATGTGACATTACCACATATTTTTCTGTAATGAAAAAATGTCTGCTATGCTATTTATATTAACTCATAACTACTAATACTACATTATGTTATTGTTATTTTATATACTTGTGTTTGTCGCAAAAATAGCTTTCCGTGTTGATATGTATGCGATTCTAAATAAAGCTTCTTATCTTGTCTGGTAATGCCTATGGCCAGGTCAGAGACGCATAGTAACTTGTCTCTTGGCGATCAAAGCTCTGCCTTTGTCTGCATTTATTCGACAATGGGTCACCATGACCTACAGTATTGCTATAGTGACTGGAGAGCTCTCAGACCATTAGGTAATATTTTTTGTTTCATTTGAATATTCTGATACACTTAGTTGTTACAAAATTGGTCAGAAGTGTGTTAAGTATGGCACTTAAGTAAAAACAAATCTATAAAGTCTGTGATACAAAAATAAATAATTTATTATAACCCACTAGGGCATTATCCTTGTCGTCACCAATGGCAATATGTAATATTATATTTCTTGCTTTTCTACTTAAAATTCACCTTTGCTTTACGTGGGGGTAACACATCTTATTGTACAGGTGTATAATGCTCCGCAATGCAGTGTTGTTAAAATTAAAACAATGAATGAAGTATTTCCTGATATTCAGCAATCCTTACTGGCAACAGGAACACCAGGACCCAATCACAATACAGGCTTCATGTGGATTCAGGTTATCATTTGGCAGTGGGTTAACTTAGGTTTGAGTAATTATAATTGTCTGCAACATATTTAAAATACATGTGCATTTTTTTGTAAGGGATATGTGTATCATGTTTTGCAGAATTTGAAAAGGAAAAAACTGCACCCAGCAGGAAACGTTCACGCTCAACATCGGGTTCACGGTCAAAATCCAAAAAAACAGTAGACAAGAAAAGATCAAGATCTCGTGAAAGAAAGAAGCGATCTCGCAGGTATAAACATCTTTTGTCTGATTTTCTTTTTATCTCCACAGTGTTCTCCCTGGGCCGTTTTCGCATGATCATATCATTAGTAGGAGTGAAACGATTCACCGCGATTATGGTGAACCGCGATTACTTGCTCCCGATTCGATTCTCGATTTACAACTCTGATATTTCGATTCGATTCTTACAAATTCGGTCCGTGTTTGACTTTACATTTAGACACACTCCTAGTCCTGTTAAACGCAGATTTTGATTGGCCAACACACTTTGCGTAGGCCAATCAAATTGCGCGTTGCTGTTACTGCAAACTACTGCAAACATGGAGTACGAGTTAGCCGACCCGCCCGCATCATATAAATCTCCCGTGTGGAAACACTTTGGGTTTCCAATCGTCGACGGAAAAACGGAAAAAAATGTCACTATTTGCAAGATATGTTATTTAAAGATGTCATACAAAGCTGGCTCGACGACAGCAATGAACGCACATCTAAAACATAAACACAATGTGGACTGTGATAAAGCTGCTTCGGTCAGTTCGCAGTCTTCCGCTAACAACGATCTTCGGTCTGAACAAAAACCCAAGTTTCTTTCAATATGTCAGAAGTAGACAAAGACTTAATTGTTTACAGTGCTCTGATGCATGACTACAATGTTTATATGATTTTGCAATAAACTTGCAACTTGTAAAAGTAATTTTACCTATTTACAAAGTGGGTTTTTTTCTGACTTCTCATCTAAATTAGTAAATATGTTTGAAAAATCATGTATTTCTTGGATGCTAATAATCGAATCGAAATTAATCAAATCGGAAGTCACAAATCGAGATTCGAATCGAATCGAGATATACCCGAATCGTTGCATCCCTAATCATTAGGGCATTTACAAATGAATTTATGAAATGCACCACCAATTTGTTCAATTCTCATTCAGATGTATATACATACGATTCAAATACGACTGGAACATTAAGTTATCACATAAATATACAACATTTGATATAGCGCCCTATCTAGCTAGCTAGGAGCTGCCTTATCAGGTGCTAACTATAGCTACTAGTCCTATACCACCCGGCTAATATCACTCTATGTGTGTATATGCCTGTGTGTGCTGGAGATGTATTGTATTCTGTTTGTAGTGGGACCGTGCTTCCAACGGTATCATTTATAGTGCAACCTCACTTGAATGCTACAGCACAGATACCGCAACACCCACCCCAGACCATTTTATACTCCACCTGAGTTGTGTGGGCAGGAGAAAAAGACTTTCTCTGAATATTCCATCCGGTCAGTGACTTCGGGGATCGAACCCAGGCCGTCTGCTTGGAAGGCCAGAGTGTTGACCACTCAACCAATCCGCCCACATGAGAATCCCTTTTCTCGTTCTCAATTAGACTTTTCCTCATAAGACTAGCTTTTATTGTTCCCCAGTCGTTGATCGACACCCTGATCGACAACATCTACCCCGCAGGTAGATTTACCACTGGGAATGTGAATCACCTATAGGTATAAAACATGAACACTTACCCTGTGTGATTTATCTCATTAGTGATGTCTGTTAATCATCAAGGCTTCAGTCCTTTTTTGATTTTCACACATGACCAACAAGAAAAACATTTACTTAGAAGTAGGGAATTTTCTTTTTCAAATTGGTATGTGCACGATAAATCACGGCTTAGAACTGGTTGGCAGCACCGGACTGCCATTGAAGGAAAACGATAGAAACCATATCACATCAAAAAATTGCTGGGTAGAACTGTGATACAGATCCCTTGAAAGTTTTTAGGTCACCTGATCTTTGCTCAAGTGACCTATTCCGATCACTTTCCGTCCGTCATGTGTAAACTTTTTACATTTTTAACTTCTCAAGAACCAGTGTATGACATTTTTTCAAACTTGATCAGAATCATCCTTGGTAGATGAGACTACAAAATTGTAAAATTTGGATTCCTACCCCAAACACTGGGGCCAGGTAGGGCCCTAAGGGAGAATTTACCAATATTTAAAAAAAAATCTCAGCATGGATGGAAAGATCATCAGGGGCTTCATTTAACTTGTAAATTTCAGGACCCCCAAGCTATCCGTTCAACCTTTGGGCGGGGGTAAAGTTTACTATAGTTTATATAAGGTAACAACACTTTTGGGTAGATTTTGACAATTTTTTGTAGGAAATTATTCTTACTTGGTGAGAATTATCCTTGGAGGAAGATGGTTTTGAAATGTAAAATTGGGATTCCTAACCAACCCAAGGGGTCAGGGCGGACCCAAAGGGAAAATTTTCTTTTAAATATCATGTCTCGCATCGTGTCCTGGTATGTATTTCACATTTACATAGTCCAATATTTTTGATACAGTAACTTTTAAACGTAAAATGCAAAATAAGTACCAGGAAACGATGCGAGACATGATGTTTTTTACATTGCGCCAAAAAGTATCTCTGCTGGACTAGACTCTACTCGGGGGGCCTTGGGACTTTCCGTAGTATTTGGCAGTATGCTATAAAGACATGTCGAAAAGCCCTCGTCATTTCCGGGTCAGGTTCAAGTTAATCATGGCGGTAAAACTGCAAATTCCCCGAAAAAGTGCTTGATTGGATGTATTAGACGAATGATTACACAATTGATCATGATGGATTACTTTATTACAATTCAAACCGAAGCTATCGCCGCAGATCGCTGGAAAAAATAACAAAAGTAAGTGTTGAAAATCTTCATTTGAAATTTGGCGGTACCGGTAGTGCTCTGACGAAGCTTCTTCCCTTGTGTATGTTTATGTGTGTTGTGACCCATATCAGTATAGCATATGTGTGTATTTCAGACATTTGTAACGTGCCCCTGTGATTGGAACCTAATACAAGCGACCGTCGAAGTAATTCTGAACGGTTTGCTGTTCTAAAAACTGCATAACTGCGATGCTAAATAAATTTTCTCGATCACTTGAAATTCTAAAACGTCTAACCACGAAAGTACACAGTCAGATACGATATTGGGCCTATCGTTTGAAGTTATCTGAAAGGCTGAAAATCGGCACTTCGACATGGTGTTTCAAGGCGATACTTATACTTTCTAATCAAGCATATCGGACGTATTTGTGCTTACTACGGTACTGGAAAAAGTAAATGAATACCATGTACACTAATTTAGATATACTGAAACCGTACATTTGTTGGATGCAGTGTTTGAACGAGTTTATCAGACCGGCTTACGGCGCCGTCAAATGTACGTGTGCGAGACCACCTATGTGTGACTCACTTATCAGACTGTTTTTTCAACGTCAAAGGGTCATCCAATTAACTTGACCCCACTGTCCATAATTATTGTATAAGAATTATAACGCCTTTTTGCCATCTGAAGCTTGATACTCGACTTTACAACTTAGACAAAAGCATTAATCAACTCGCAGTCGTACAGCGCGCGCTGATCTGTGACGGCCCTGATTATGTTTACGCAATCAGTGTCAGCCACAATACACACGTGAGCTCGAGTAAACGGATCGTTTTCTGCGACAAAGATACAGAGTTTCACCATCTTTAAAAACTTAGTAGTCAATTTAGTAGCCACATCGAATTTTTAGTAGCCAATAGTAGCTACCGACAGCGTGAGCCCTGAAAGTTCCTATACACTAAAACTAGAACTGTTTGCTTTTTAATATTTTTAGTATTACTGTATATATATATGTACATGTAGTATATGTCACAAACTCCAACTTTTGTACAGTCGATCACCCAAAGAAAGGCCAATACGTCGACGGAAGAAACCCTACAAGTATTGGGACGTCCCTCCTGCAGGATTTGAGCACATGACTCCATTGCAATACAAATCCATGCAAGGTACAGGTATCTACTTCAGTTTTTTAAAACTCTTTTAATTATGAAACTGAATTATATATGTGATTTGACCATACCATGGCTTACTGGTGTTCAGACATTCTTTTGTCTCTTTGGAGCATAGAGTGTTTATAATTCGGTCGCCCGTTTATTGGTAAGTGTACATGTAGGCTCAAGGAAGGTGAAAATGTTTTTGATCACTGCATGATTGTGGTTGCTTCATCGATTTACCTTATAGAGGAAATTGGTTCAAAGAAATTACCAATCTTTTGACCAAAGTTTTGAGAGACATCATTTTCCGATTTGAGCTCTATTTTGAACAATTTTTTAGCTCAACTGGTCCAAAGGATCATATAGTGAGCTTATGCCATGGCACAGTGACGTCGTCTGTTGTCAACTTTTTCTTAAAAACCTATCTTCTCTTAAACGTCAAAGAGAATTTCAACCAAATTTGGACTGGTGCATCACTAGGAGAGGGCAATCATTTCTTAAATAAATGAGAATGGTACGACCCCTGAGGCCAGGGGGACTGGGAACTGAAGGGGAACTTAGCTAAATTTGCTTTGAAATGCATCTTTTCTTCAACACCAGAGATGATTTTTACCAAATTTGCTATGAAACTTCATTGGGGGAGAGCAATCATTTCCTAAATGAATGAGGCTTATATATGTAGTTCCACCCCTGGGGCTAGGAAGGCCGGGCCCCAAAGGGGAAAATTATGTCTGTCAGCATCAGTAGGGGAGGGCAATTATTTCCTAAATAAATAAGCTGGTTCGACCCCTGGGGCTAGGAAGGCTGGGCCCCTAAGAGGAAAATTATCTAATATTTTACTTTAAGACGCTAATTAATACCCCTTAACTACCTGAGTGGATTGTACAAAATTTGTCAAAAACATTATTGAGGAAGAACAAACATTTCTTATTTGAATGAGGTTGATTTGACCCCTGTAATCGTAAGAAATAGTACAGCTAGATTATCTATGGTGTAGTTTTTAGGGCTGTAACGATACATCGTGGTGCACCAAAAACCGCGCTAAATTGCTTGGGTTCGGTTTACGGTATTTTTTTCTGTAGTTTAGTTCGGTTTTTAGTATTACTTCCAGAATTTAACCATACATGTGTAACGTAAACATTTATTCTCCAGCATAACCTACGATGATAAAGGTTTGGAAGTGTTTGACATGGTTGATGTGGAAATACTTCGGTGTAACATAATATGTAACTTTCCAATGAACGGCTTTGTGCCATACACAAACAGGTAAATATCGGCAGACCAAGGCGCACATGTCGTCTGCAGGTGAGGCCAATTTGAACATTAACATTGATACATTTTGAGCCGATCGATTTCTTCAAACTATATATTAATGATTTAATCATAAACTAGACCGTAGCAAATATATATCTATACTATATGCCGACAGTGACAGTAAATAAATCGAATGAGGACTTGAATCCTGTAGCAAATCACATGCAATTCTTGATGAAATACCTGATCTTTTTACCTGATAATCTCCGTGTAAATGTACAGCGTCTTATGTCATAAATGAAGTTTATAATCTCTGATATCATTTGCCAATCACGTTTGCTGACAAAAATAATTTTAAAATGAACTTTCTTGTGCTGAAATCCGATTAATTAAAAGTTTCATCCTTTCCTACCACCTGTACAGGTAAATACTGAAGCAACTTTAAAATTGAAAACGTTAATGTAAACTGGAGACAATAATGAACAATTTTCATTTAACTTTTATTCACATATAACATATGTTTTTCAAGTTATGCACAATTGCAAAATCAAGTAAATTAAGTTATATTTTAATAATTAATTCAGCAGTGGTGTCCCTTTACATAGAAATCATTGTAGCAGCATAAAGGGTTAAAAAAAACTCCCGATTCCTTTCGCTCGCCTGTTTGGCAGCATTTTGGATTCCTGCTAAATGTCCCCGATGGAAAATCACTCTCCACTTGCCACATATGTTTCGTAGATTTAAGTTACAAGTTAGGGAACACATCAAACATGGCGACGCATATGAAGAGGAAGCATAACATTTCCTCATCCTGTATGGTATCAAAATGTATCGTATCGTTGGTAGATACCGTGAATTGTATCGTGGCATAGGTGTATCGTTACAGCCCAAGTAGTTTTCATAAATTGTTTTCTAGGTTTATAAAAGCTTCAGTTAGTTGTAATTAAAGTACCTCCTGTAATTTGACATATTACTTATTTCAAAATCTTTTAACATGGCAACTCAATGGAGGCCCCTGATCAGTTGAAAGTCAGATATTGTGGTCCCAGTTGGGTAAGAACATAGATCTTGTCTGGTTTTGAGGAAATTTCATATAAAGTTGTACTAATGCAATCAGTTGTAATGACTTGGTATATAAAACCAGGTGAGCGATACAGGTCCAATGGACCTCTTGTTTTATGTAAAATCTGTTGATCATATTCATACTGAAGTAATCATGAGCATGTTTCATACCTAAGTGTAATTTTTTATATATTTTTTCTCCTGCTTTCAGAGAAAACAATATTAAAATGTGTGTGACCATTTGTCTGTTGATCATGCTCAGTTCACATGCAACAACTCCCCTTTAGTGAATTAGTAAAGAAAATTATGAGAGTCTGGGCTTCAGAATTAACTAAGTAAATTTTTATACGCCCGTCAAATTTGATGGGAGTATTATGGTATGGGTTTGTCTGTCTGGCGTAAACTTTGTTTGTCCGGCAATCTCCTCCTACATTTTTTGACCCATCTCTTTGAAACTTGGTACCGTAAAAACCGTACCATTATAACCATGATATAAAGTTGTGTATCCCTTAAAAGAATTTTGATTCAACAATATTTGAGAAAGTTATTGCCCTTTGTTTATTTCAGTATTTGAATTTTGTCCGGCAATCTCCTCCTACATTTTTTAACAGATCTCTTTGAAACTTATTATACATTATTATCCTGATATGAAGTTGTGTATCCTTGAAAGAATTTTGATTCGACGATTTTTGCAAAATCTATTGCCCTTTGTTCATTTCAGTATTTGATTTTTTGCCAGATATTTTCTTTATAGCATGTCAGCTAACCACTCTTAGAATGATGCAGATCTTATTTCATTGTAAGAAAGTTTATAACACTATATGGCATTCGACGGGCGTATATTGTTCCGCCCCGCGGTACCGTGTTTTTTTTTTAAAGTTTGGTATCGGCTTATAAACAATAAAATTATAGCTGTAATGCGACTCCCATGGCTATTGTAGGTAATGGACAAATTCCACAGACCATCACCGTCCCAAATGTGGCGCTCACAAATACCACAGTACCCTTCGCCGGAAGTGCAATCAGTCGACAAGCTAGGCGTCTGTATGTGGGAAATATACCATTTGGTGTAACAGAAGAAGCCATGATGGACTTTTTTAATCACCAGATGAAGATGACTGGACTAGCTCAGGCAGATGGTAGTCCGGTCATTGCCGTTCAGATTAATCTAGACAAGAATTTTGCATTTTTGGAGGTAAATAATCCACAATTTATTTTCCTTTTTTTCTGGTTTGTTTACTGATCTTGATTTGCAACCAGAAGTAAGGCTACTTTAACAGTAATGTCTACGTTATGTACACTGACAGTTTCATGTTTATGTGGGGGGGGAAATATATTTACAAACTAGACTGTCCTGTTGATTAACATATTCATCATGCTGCCAATTTGATCCTGTATACTATGATTCTTTTCAAAAATAAAAATAAATAAAAGTTCTGAAATGTAAAAAAAATATGTGAATCAATGTGTATTATATAAACCGTTCAGTCCTATATTATCATATGTAATTGTGTATCAAGCAGTTTGCCAAGATGATCGAGCTATATCTATGATCATATGGTATCTTTTCCAATTACACTGTACTGGTTTTCCCCCTACCATTGTAATTTTGATAAAAAGCCTCCGAAAGAATGTAAATATGTATTCAACATATTTTTTTCCAGTTCCGCTCAGTAGATGAGACAACACAGGCAATGGCATTTGATGGGATCAATTTCCAAGGCCAGTCCTTGAAAATAAGAAGACCACGGGATTATCAGCCCCTACCTGGCATGGCAGAAACACCAACAGTTAATGTCCCAGGTAAAATACATTTAACACTTATTTATTACATGATAACACTTTCACACATGATTTTCATCAAAAGAAAGCATTCATTTAATTTGACTTTCCCTGATTTCCCTTCAATTTACCAAGTTAAGACTTTTTCCAATAAAAACCTAGGTATTTTTAACCTTTTGTAGTTAAAGTAGACAAGAAGCTTCTCATCATTTTACAAAGAATTTTTTTATTCTGCCTACAGGAGTGGTTTCAACGGTCGTGCAAGATTCACCTCACAAGATTTTCATCGGTGGTCTCCCCAATTACCTAAATGAAGACCAGGTATACAGTGATTTTAGTTGACGACAAATCACATTCATCAAAAAATAAAAGAGAAATCCATTTATGAGTGGTCTTGCCAGATGCTTGTGATTACAGGAGATCTGTTGGGCTACACTGACCAGGTGTATGGCGGGATTGTCATTGCAGATCGCTGTGGGTTTTATCAGGCCAGAGTCTGAGGCAGATGTGCAGTCAACTTTTCCAATAGTTGTCTCCCCTTCAATTTTTGGGGGAACAAAACATGTTTACTTTTTACAGCTGTCAGAATGTTTTCAGGGTTTTTTTTTCTTTCTCTTCATTTTTCCCCCATTCCCCTCATGTCTTCTTTGAAAATCATAAATTGTTGATGATCATTCTGTTAGGATGTCTAGTAAGGGATTTATTAGGTCTCTTCCAGATTACAACGATTGATTCACCCTCAACTATTTTTGACCTTTTTTTTCCCTCAAACAAAACTAAATATTAAAAACAAGATAACTGTTCAGCTATTTCGGTATGTTCTGTTTACAGGCATTTTTCTTACAGAGCCAAGGTACAATTTTTTACAGGCTTCTTTTGCAGTTGTTTCTGTTTCAGCTATTTTTATTCTGATTTAAAAAGTTATAATGTTTAGTCATTTTTGGAATAGATAGATATAATTAAATGCTGCATTTCAAATTAAATTATGTTTCTTCGTCAAAAATGTATGTTACAAAAAAAATATAAAAAAAATAGAGTAAAAAAGTTATACAATAAGAATAATACTGTAAATTTATAAAATCAAGTTCTGACAGTTGATATAGGATCTAATGACTGATCTGATGAATGCATATGTTACCACGGTACCAACATTACTCATCTTTTTTCTTGTTTCTTCACCCATTTGTTCCTCAGCATAGGGGAAGAGCTTGACCCCCCACGGTAATTGTTAAACTAGCATCCAAGCATCAAAAGGCAAGTCTACGATTCATTAGGTGAGAGTATCATCTCAGATTTCAGCCTCAGCCTTCCTCCTCTCACACTGTGAAAATATCACTGTGTCAATTGATGCAGTGAGGGGGATACTCGTCATTTAAAGAAGGGACTTGCATGAATTGCATCTCTTTTTCTTGTGGATATTGATATGTATGTGTGGTGTTCTAGCTTGGTGGAGCTAGCTAGTCTTGCAGTCGGAAAAGCATGGACACTGAAAAGAAAAAGATTAAAGACAATTAATTAATCCATGTCAAATGTAGGTTACAGTAAAACTTACTGTTCATTTGTATCCAACTTCTCCATTAACACATGTTTCGGGGAACGGGGGTTCAGAACTAGAGATAATATGGAAGTTTTGACTTGAGTGCCAGTTAATTCTGTAAGTATTTCATTTTGAGATGAACTTGTTTTTCAGGTAAAAATTTCAGTTGCATTATCAATTTATTTTTTAATTTTGTTATTAAAATTGAACTTTTTATTTCCTTTTTGAAAAAGTCAATCCCTTTTCTTTTAAAAGGTGATGTTGGAATTTGATATTAATAATGCAACTGATTTTTTGGCAAAAGCAAATAGAAAATCATCACTGATTGGATGTTTGTTTCTTTATCAAGGTAAAAGAACTACTCACATCCTTTGGACCACTCAAAGCTTTCAACTTGGTGAAGGATAGTGCTACAGGGCTGTCCAAGGGCTACGCATTTTGTGAATATGTGGATGTCACAATAACAGACCAGGTATAAACAAATTTAACTGAAACATTTCTGTTACTGCATGTTAATCAATTTCAAAACTGTAGATCAATGCACCATAGATAAATGGGTGTATTCAAGCATTTAGGTCACCTAGTCGAAAACAAACATAATGGTTACTTCATAGAAACATATTTTTTGTTTTCTCACAAGAACATGAGTTCCTAAACGTCAGCTGGGGTGGAACATCGTACAATGATTGTTTTTGAAAAAAAGGATACTTATGGTCAGTAGTTTATATAAAAGATTATATATCTGAGTGCAGTGATATATGTCCTCTCATCTCTGAGGGGTCACACACAGTGCTTAATAATATTTATGATGTACTGCATCAACTAAAATCTGTTTTATCTATTATGTACTCATTTCTTTTTTCTGTTAGCATATTAATGCTATTGAATTTACGTTTTTGCATGACTAATCACATATTCATTATATTGAATACATTGCTCTAGCTCGTCTTTCACTTACCACTCTTATCTTGATTTTGCCATAGGCGTGTGCAGGATTGAATGGTATGCAGCTAGGAGACAAGAAACTTATCGTTCAGCGAGCCAGCGTTGGTGCCAAGAATGCCCAGGCAGTGAGTAGCTCAATATTGCTTTTCTTTGGTAAAAACAAAATCCAAAGTACCAGGGATTTCTACAGGCATTACACATCCTTAGATTCAATTCTCTAAAACTGTTCTGCTACAAAGACTCAAAGTACAATAGAAGGTACTATAGTACCAGATGCATGATGTTGTTTTGTTCTATCGAGTCCTGATCACTAATTACCCTGGTGGTTTGTCCTGTTACAGCCTGTCCAGCTACAGATCCCAGGCCTAAATATGACGCAGGGCTCCGGGCCGGCCACGGAGGTGCTTTGTCTGATGAACATGGTCGCACCAGAGGAGTTGGAAGACGAGGAGGAGTACGAAGGTAAACTTGAATGGAAAATAGTTGGTTTAAACCCTTTGTATGATTTGATACAAAGATAAACATGTACAGTAATAGTCCTTTAAAATCATTGTAAATTATTTGATATACTTTCATTATTGAAAGTAGACATAACTATTGTGGGTGACGGGGGCACACAAAAATGTCTACCACATCACCGCCTCTTAACCCCTTTTTATCTATAAATAATCCTTTTGGTGTATCACCATTTCTTATTTTAAATTAAGCAAAACATTTATCATCGGCGACTTTTCACTACTGAACTAGAAGCATTATTTCATTTCCTATTTGCATATTCCAGTTTACTGTATGTTTATTTACTTTTTCCTATATTAGATATCTTGGAAGATGTGAAGGAGGAGTGTGGAAAGTATGGTATTGTGAGAAGTATAGAAGTCCCCAGACCCATCAAGGGTGTGGAAGTCCCTGGCTGTGGAAAGGTATGACAGCAGATATGTTGCTTTGTTGAAATTCTGATCAAGAACAGCGGTGTTCCATGTAGAAAAAGATTGATTCCGGACAATATTAACTGAAATAAACAGTTTTCTCTGAGGGGTGAAGGAAATTACCTATGTAAATTGCAAATACATCCCCTAATCGAGAAATGATCATGGACATTGTGTGAAATTGTCTATGAATCCCCCAAAAAATGGAAATAAAAACTGACTCTTCTGTTTGCTCAGAGATAATTAAAGTACATCCCTTTCTTCTCTGACTTTTTAAGGGTGTTTGAAAACAAAATGAAAATAATGTTCACAACAAAATTTATTCAGCTGCAATATATCTTCATTAATCAGTTTTGTTATCTTTATGTAATTTTTTCAGATTTTTGTGGAGTTCAACTCTATCATCGACTGCCAGAAAGCCCAACAAGCACTTACAGGCAGGAAATTCTCAAATCGTGTTGTGGTCACCTCTTACTTTGACCCAGACCAGTATCACAGGAGGGAGTTCTGAGTTTTGTTGTTCGTTTTTTCATCTCTGACATTTTACAACATAGACATCAGAGCTATGAGCTTTATCTTCATAATTGAATTCTGACAGAGAAGGAGTACATTGTTTCAACTTCCAATACATCTGACTTGTTCGTAACAAATTATGTGTCAATCATTATTGTATCTGGTATGTTGAGATCAGACAATTTCATTAATATGAATTTCCATCATAATATTTTTCTGTGTCAATACGTCAAACATTTTTTGCTTGAAATACCTATATTGATATTCAAAAACATTTTGAAAAGGTGTTGTTTATCTTTCATTTAAATAAAAAAAAAATGAAATATTTTCAGTTATTTTTGATGATGATGATATAAAAATTTGGTTTTACATGTATCATAAGGAAAATGAAATTGTACATCTATGAATTCTATGTAAATGGAGAATGATTAAATCAATACAAGTTTAAACAGATTTTGAGTTTGTGTTTTTAGCTCAACAGACACAAAGCATTAATTTTAGTCTTAAATTACATGATGGCATTCAGTCTGTTCGTCAGCATTTTGGCTAGAGTAGTGATATTTTACGAGTACATTTTTGGCACAGAATGCTACAAAGACCCATATTCAAAGTCACAATGATCAAATTTGTAGAAAAATGCTTGACTTCTGAAAAAAAAAAAAAGACTTAAAGGGACATCACGCGAAAAGCCATATATTTTTTAATGAATGTATGTATTGTATGCACTTCCACTTTTGTTACCTCGCTATCCCCATATTCATAGTCCGTTCCAAATGTCCAGTTTGACCACTTGAATTGTTCGGGAAAGCCCTGCTAAAAATAGCGCCGGTCACGTCACCTGACTAGGCAGTAAACACGAGCGGTCTGGGCGAGATGAAACGGTTTCCATAGGGGCCCCCAGAGAGGGGCGTCATGCAACTGCAACTTCTTACCGCACTATGAAACCAAGTAATATGATTTCTAAGTCCGTATTAAAACTTATTGAACAGTAGTTTTCATCATCAGAAGTTAATTGCACACTTGCCAATATTCAGAATTTGAATTTATTTAGCTTTAAACATATGTGTTGCCAATAAAATTGAACAAGGGATGGGACACACGTTTTTACAATTTATCACGGCCTTCTCTGTCGTACATTTACAATTTAATGTCAACAATGATAAGAGGCATACAAATAAAGTATATACATATAAATATATATAGAATTTAGTACCGGAATGTGACATCTGTACGGGGCTAAACACCTTTAAATTCTTCAACCATGGGACAAACCTTTCTGTAAAAAGGAATATTCACGAGACGAATATCCCTTTTCAAATGTTTTCATAAAGTGCATATATGCAATGACAAACTACACGCGTATAAAAAAGAGAAACGTTTGTGATTTGTTTTATTACATTGTTCAACTCAATATCTTTGGCCATTTTTTTTCTATACCATGCATAAACAAGAGGCCCAGGGGCCTTAATAGCTCACCTAGTATTTTATTTTTCAATTTAAAACCTGCTGAGTACCGTTCAGGTTTATCAAAGGAGTACAAGTAACAAAGTTGCATCTTCCATTTATAAATATTCAATTCCCTTTGCCCAAAGATTCTCTAAAACAAGTTTGGTTAGGTTAAAATCCCTTCAACGGTACAGAAGGAGAAGGATCTTTAATGTTTTCCTCTATTTCCCCTAATGGGCCCCACTAATCTGCCCCAAAGAAGGGGAATCCACACACCTCAGTTTAAACAAAATTGATTCTTTTCTCCCTAAGCATGCTTCAGACTGCATTTGGTTTAAATCCCTTCACTTGTATAGTAGGAGAAAAAAAATCCTCTATTTCCCCTATTGGGCCCCGCTCCTATGCCGCCAGAAGGCCCACACCCTCCGTTTATACAAACTTGAGTCTCCTTTGTCCAAAGATGCTCTAGGACAAATTTGGTCAAAATCCTTCAATTGGTTGAGGAGAAGATTTTTAAAGATTTACCTATTTTCCCCTATTTGGCCCCGTCCCTCTGCCCCCAGGGGGACCATACCCTCCGTTCATACAAAACTGAGAACCCTTTGGCCAATGATGCTCCAGACCAAATTTGGTCAAAATCCCTTCATCGGTACAAAAGGAGAAGGATATTTGATGTTTTCCTCTATTTCCCCTAATGGGCCCCACCCATCTGCCCTTAGAAGGAGGCCCACACACCTCAGTTTATACAAAATTGATTCTTTTGTCCCTAATCATGCTTCAGACTGCATTTGGTTAAAATCCCTTCACTTGTATAGCAGGAGAAAAAAAATCCTCTATTTCCCCTATTGGGCCCCGCCCCTCCGCCCCCAGAGGGGCCACACCCTCCGTTTATACAAACTTGAGTCTTCTTTGTCCAAAGATGCTCTAGGACAAATTTGGTCAAAATCCTTCAATTGGTTGAGAAGAAGAACATTTTTAAAGATTTACCTTTTTTCCCCTTATTTAGCCCCGCCCCTCTGCCCCGAGGGGGGGCTATACCGTCCGTTTATACAAAACTGAGAACCCTTTGGCCAATGATGCTCCTGACCAAGCTTCAGACTGCATTTGGTTTAAATCCCTTCACTTGTATAGTAGGAGAGAAAAAATCCTCTACTTCCCCTATTTGGCCCCGCCCCTCTGCCCCCAAAGAGGCCACACCCTCCGTTTATACAAACTTGAGTCTCCTTTGTCCAAAGATGCTCTAGGACAAATTTGGTCAAAATCCTTCTATTGGTTGAGAAGAAGAAGATTTTTAAAGATTTACCTATTTTCCCCCTATTTGGCCCCGCCCCTCTGCCCCCAGGGGGGTTATACCCTCCGTTTATACAAAACTGAGAACCCTTTGGCCAATGATGCTCCTGACCAAATTTGGTCAAAATCCTCTGAGCCATTCAGGACAAGTAGCATTTTAAAGGAAAAAGTTGACGGACGACGGACGCTGCACCATGGGATAAGCTCACTTGGCCCTTCGGGCCAGGTGAGCTAAAAAGGTATGTATACTCTCTTTCCCACTTTAATTTGCTCCATACGCTAACACTTAGTAAGTCATATTAGCCATCACACACACTAAACTGTATGGCAAAACCACTACGTGTACATGTAGAATATGTGTCAGATATGGTTTTCATAGATTAAAGCATTCTTGTTAATGGACCCTTTTTATGTTGAGCCAACTTTTCTTTAATCATTTCATTTTTGTCCGAAACAGAAGCCGTAGTTATCGGCAGCACGCGCCATTTTTATAACGTAATCAAATATTTTTTCCCCTGTTTTCAATACGTATTCCGATTCTATCTGAAGTCGAAGATTAATTCTTTATAGAGAAACGGTTGTTACATGATCATACATTCTAAGTCAACAACATATGAAAACATTAACTGTTGAAATATTACGATTGTAAAAAAAAATGTTATGTGATCCTATTTACTAGAAGTAGGTTCTCCTTCCTCAGTTATTCATTCTGGCCCGTCATTTTGACATTTTTAATCTATAGCTGCGATAATGTAGCTTTCTGACGACGAGAGATTTTTTTTATATATATTACGTCGTTGCGCCAGAGGAAGCCGGGTATTCATATTAGTACTAATTTACATCTTGTATGTAAAAACAAACAAAAAATCGTTTAATTCAACAATATAATTAAATCATACCATTTTACTGAACCCGGTAATATTAAAAATTATGTAAATCTAAAAGCGCACGTATCTCATTTGATCACGAGTAACGACAGAGACAGAATACGCCGTGGCAATCACAACAGTTAACCCTTGGAGGGCCTCATGACAAAATCAAACTAACCAGTCACTTATCCCTTCCTTTCGCATAAACCACTGTACTTTCCGATACATGCCCATTGACATATTAAACTAAGTTCATCTGTGTTCAAACTCAGACAAAGATATTAGCGAGGTTAATAGTTTTAGATATTTATTCATAACATAAACAGCGCTAGCATTTCTGTCGATTCCATTTCAGCTTAACCACGGACTTAGATTCTAATTCCGTGACCGTACTAACTGTTAGGGCAGTTATTTTCTCCTTTGAATACTTCCCAACTGTAATAATGATTCCGTAACGTACTCCGTGCGCTACCTTTTGACAATTTGGCATCTTTTCGCCTCGTAGCTGACACGGTACAACACTTTTCTTTGGCTTGCTTCACACGGTCAGTCATTTTGTTTACAAAGAAATGGTGTGCAATGCGCATGCGCTAGTAGAGGGAAATCCCTGAACAAAACGTTGGTCAGACAGGTAGAAATTCCGATGATTATCTTAGATTTAATAATTTTTATGAATCTATTTCAGCCAAATCCGATCGTTATTTTCCATAAGGAGTCTCACTTGATATGTTTATGTAGTATTTGAAAAAAAAGACAAAAAAATAGTTACTTCAGCGTGATGCCCCTTTCACTAAAGGCTACTAAAAACATGTCTTATTTTTTTCAATCGACTTATCAAGAATGAGTTGGTAGAGAAGGTAATGACATTTGGTCATAAGCATGCTGGAATGAAGAGCTATCATGTTTGCTTAATGAATTACCTTGACCTACTTAAAGGCCATGGGTAAAATAGGTAAAAAGTTCAAATGTCTTCTAAAAAAGATTCATGATGTTTAGTGTGATGCACTTTGGTAAGTTATTTTTTAAGATAAAGAAGTTATTTGATCAAATAAATGGATTTGACCCACTTTGAAGGTAACTTATGAAAATAAGTTAAAATCTTCGAACAAAGAACCAGGAAGTATAGTATAACTATATTTAGCCTTTAGTGTAAGGTTGCTTGCCTTCATCCTGATGTGGCACCCCAGGACCAAAGATTAGATATGATACAACAAAACTTTGTGACAATGAAATGGTTTATAGATGGTAGAACAAGTACCTAATTAACAATAATGCACGAAAAGTCTACATTCCACTTCACTTTAAGTCTTTGTCTCCTTGTAAAATGTTTTTTTGTTTTTTTTTATAACGTACATTATATTCTCCAGTGAAATACGATAGTGGTTCAACCAGGAAGTATTCCCACTCATCAAAGTTTGTGGGAGATATAGAAACAGGGTTTGTGCACCCGTTTGGCAGCTGGTGAAGAAAAAACTGTTTCGTCCATATCCAGGTAGCTGTTAGCACTACATTGATTATACAATGATGGAGCTAGGGTTGCTATACTAAATATATGGATGCTTAATTATGCCCCCGCAATAAAATGTGTGTGGGGGGGGGGGGGGGGGGGGGGTGTATATAGTGTTGCCCATGTCCGTCTCGTCCTGTCCTGATTCAATGCAATCCTATGCAAAAACATCCTGGATATAATACAATCCTTTATTTCATTCAAAACACATTCAATGTGTCAATTTTATCAACTTGCGCTGACTAAAAATTAAAAAAAAGTAGTATGGTAGGAGAGTGCCTACTCGAGCCTAAGGTAGCTACCCTGCTGGTAATCACTGAACAACTTCATTCTTTCATGGA